TGAAGAGTACGGGACACTAGTGCTCAGCGTCCTGTTCCTCCCCACTCAGGAGCACACCCTGCACTGAATTTTCTCTTTTGTGCCATTTTCTGAGCCCGTCTCTGACCGCAGAGCCGCTCGGTGTAAGCTGCTTGCATGCTGGGCCTCAATGCTCCCCAGCCTGGGCCCAGGCAGGGTGCTGGCTCCGGAGTGGGTGGGGTGTGTCGGGGAGAGGCTTGCCAGCTCACTCCCATCCTTCTGGCCAGCTGCTGCAGGGGCTACTCATACTCCAGGAACTGCTTGTGGTAGAAGAGCAAGTACCTGCGGAGGCAGAGGGGACACGGACACTCGTGAGGAGTCCGAACAAAGCCCGCTCTCCTGAAACACAGACGCGCAACAAGTCCTTGGGTTGCACAGGTGGGATGACTTCTTACCCTGTTGCGTGGCACCACCTTGCTCCCAAGCCTGAGACCCGTTCCCTCCTGCCCGCCCCTGGGAGCTGCCTGTGGAGCCTGTTCGTGAGGGGACTAGGATGACACTGTCTGGACCCACCTCCAGGCGTCAAAGCCAGCGCCATCCTTCTACATAAGACTACTAAGAGGCTGCCACACGGATCAGAATATAAAGTCCAGGCTGTCTGACACCCCGCCTCCCCTTATGGTCACCAGTTCACTTCTCAGCCTGGAGGCTGTGGGGAGTTCCGGGGGTCTTGAGACCAAGAAAGCAGTCCACACAGAAGACTGATGCCCAGGCTTCCCTGGGCCCCAGAGCAGTGTTTCCTTATGTGCAACAGGAAGGCCAGCTGGAGAGCCAGTGCTCAGAGTGGCTGTGCTTAGAACAGGGTGACTGCAGTCCACTTTGCTCTCTCGTCCCAGGGAAGGTAAGCACCTGGAGTGGATGGTTCCCAGGGAAACAGCTACTGATGCTTGCTCCCTCCCTCCCTCCCAGGGGCGGGGGAACCCAGCCACACACCCCTCGCTGTCTAGCACGTCCTTGATGCTGGCTTTGGTGATGATGGCATCGTCACACTTGAACCACTGGTCCTTGTGCTGCCGGATGAAGCTGGTGTAGTGGCCACTCTCCAAGGTGCCCTGGTGGTTAACAACTGCGAACAAGGAGTATCTGGGGGGGAGATAAAGACAGTCACTCCACTGTTACCACCATCAGAACCACTACTGTCGCTAAGCAACCAGAAGCCCTTACTTGGGCAAAAAGCCTGCGTGATAAGGGATGCCCTACATCAATACACAGGAAGGAAAGCAGGCTGCGGGGGTGGGGGGTTGGGGTGGTGGAAGGGGAGTGTTGTCACAGCCCAGTGGTGTTAATCCAAGCCTCAAGGAGCCGCGAGTGGGGCAGACACTAGCCACCTGCTCCCGTTGACATCAGGTCAACAGTCAGAAGAACGGGAGAAGAAAGCACTTCCCCACAGGAAGGGAAAGCAAGGGTACTTCCTTCTGACAAGCCCAGAGGTGGGGTGCAGGTCCCTCACGCTAGGACTTAACTCTCAGTATAAAACCTCTTACCCACAACAGGGGGAGCAGTCATATGACACAGGTGAATTATTTTCAATACATGTTAACAAGCAGCAAGACAGACAGACAGCCAGTGGCTCAATATATCACGTGAAGTGAGTAACCTAACAGGCTCCCCACCGTCCATCCCTGCCCCCATACTCCCCCCACCCCACCCCCCACCCCCAATACACGGAGAGGCCCGGGAAACCCACCCCCTGCCCTTACTTGTTGTCGTTGTTCAGACTGTCCGTCGGCTGCTGGTACTGCCCGTTCATCCTGCTCTCTTTGCTGTGACAAGGAACACCAAAAGTGAGCAGCCATGCTATGCTCACCAGACACGTCACACACTGCAGCTAGCAATCACATGGATTTCCAACTCTCCCAGGGAGTAGCTGCCCCACTGCGTGGGAGGACGCTGAGGTCTAGATCGGATCCGCCAAGTCAGCTACCGATGAGCATGCGCACCTGCTGGGAGCTGGGTCACCCCAGTCAGCTAGGGCCCACTCCCATTTCCTGGAAGGCCATCCTTACGAGAAGCTCAGAGCCAACGTCGCCCGAGGTTTCTGAACGGGCTTTGTGAAACGATTGGATCTGGAGCCACAGGTGTCGTGACTGTTCTTCCCCCCAAACATCAAGGGTTTCAAAGTTGAAAGCACGCCTACCCAACAATCAAGCTACTTCCTCAAAAAGAACCCTAATGACCATTTCTCTCTCTCGTGAACATCCTCCGGTAGTTGGTGTTGTCACCACGTCTGGGCTGAACACGTGTGCACAGAGCAGAACTGCTCTACAGGCTGACACCTTCTGGAAGTGGAACGCTAAGACTTCTCAGCTGAGGAGCCAAAGATGCACGGAAAATGCCACAACTGATACTGAGGCAATGTGTTTGCACCATGGGTTCTTGGGAAGACTAAGTTTCAAGCAGTCTCTAAGACCTGAAAACAAGAAACGTGGATCCTCCAAAGGCAAAAATCAACCCTACTTCAAAATCTGTTGCCGTTTCTAAGCAAAGCTGCTTTTCTAGCTAAGCTTTCTCCACGTGGCTGATAAAAGGCAGGCTGCGAGATTGTCTGAGGAAAGATGGCTCGTGCAGCTCAAGTGGACCTGGGGCTGAAGGAGCTGTGTGCACACCGCCGGCCCGTGGAGCCCTGCAGTGTCCCGTGGCTGGTTCTCAGGAGCAGCCTCACTTTCTTCCTCTGCGTGAACCCAAACCGCCAGCTCTCTAAGCTAGCAGCCAAGCACAGCGACTATGTGCACCCATGTGGGACACCCTTCCTGGGTGTAGGCCAGTGGTTTCGTTTGTGGAAGCGAAGACTGACAATTCCCACAACTCCTTCATGGGCCTCTGGGCTGACATAACAAGAGGACACTCCAATAACTTCAAGACACAAGAACAAACGCTGTCATACCTTGAGGCCATGAAGGGGGTCATATCCAACTCCAGGGGGAAGGACACATATGTGGTAATCTTTCTTCTCAGCTTGGCCGAGTGTTCAAACCGCTAGAGGCAACAGAGACAGGAGCGGAGGGAGATGAAGAGCAACGACCAGCCGCGGGGTGGGGGATTGTAAAATAACACAAAGCAGGAAGAGGCCAGATGTGCTGCACAACCTACTGCACAGGGAAAGTGAGCGGGCCCTTTCACTATGCAGTACAATAAAAAGTCTGAGTTTGGGGTCAATTTTTATTTTAGAGGTTTATTTTTTAATAAGAAAATATGAAACCCTGGGAAGATGTTTTAGGGGAGTGGCACATGAAGATCGACAGGACAGGTGACCGACAAGCGGGAAACACTGTGTGCAACCAATGAAAGCCTCCATGTGCGAGGGGAAGGTCACCTCTGGTTTTCATGAGCAGATTATTACTCTGCTACCACAGTAAACTTCCCTCAGCAGCAGAGAGAAAAGTATAATTCATCACCCTCCAGTCTCAGCATTCTTCACCAACTCACTACAGGTATGAAACATACTCTGACCGCCCGATACAATGTTAAATGAACTAAAAATGGAGTCTGCCACTCAGGTTCATTTTCTGGAAACTTACTTTAAGATGGAAACAGGCAACAATGGGCAATTTCTTCATGGTGAGCTGCTTGGTGGATTCCTGGTAGCTATGGCAACCACTACATTTGATTTTGGCACTGCTTCCTAAGTGCTCTGGTCTGGTAAATCTATACGGCATTTGAAAATATATATTTTAAATAACTTCAGCAAAGTTTCAGGGTACATAATACACAACATCAGGTATTTCTATATACAAGCAAAAAACAATCTGAAAAGGAAATTAAGAAACCATTGCCATTTATGACAGCGGCTAAAAGAATAAGACTCCAAAAAATGAATTTAAATCATAGGTGAAAGATTTCACATAAGAACTATTAGCATTACGGGGAGGAGATGAGCCAGTCAGGGTGCGATGTAACAATGATGAGAAATACAACCTTCCTCTAGTTCCTAAAGGTTTCCTCCCCGCTCCCACTACCATGACTCGAATTCTATCTTGCAAGACTGGCTAGACCCGAGGAGGTACACTGGTACAGATAGGAACTGAAAATACAGGGAATCCAGGACGGATGAGCCCTATAGGACCAGTGGTGTGAGTAGCAAAACAGGGAGGGTAAAGGGAGAATGAGTAGGAAAGAGGGAACCGATTACATGGAAGTGTGTGTGACCTCCTCCCTGGGGGACAGATAAACAAAAAGTGGATGAAGGGAGACGTTGGACAGGGCAAGATATGACAAAATACCCATTTATAAACTATCAAGGGCTCATGCGGGAGGGGGGAGTGGGGGGGGAGGGGAAAAATGAGGACCTAATGTCGGGGGTTTAAATGGAGAGAAAATGTTTTGAGAAATGATGTACAAATGCGCTTTACACAATTGATGTGTGTATGGATTGGGATAACAGTTGTATGCGCCCCTAATAAAATGTTAAAAAAAAAGAAAGAACTATTAGCATTAAAAAAAATAACATATTGCTAAAACTAAAGCAGATCTAAATAACTGAGGAGAGAGACTCCTGATGCTCACGGATTCACTGACTGCCATCCAGTGGGTGCTTGAGACTACAGCTCCGTAAGGGAGCAGCAGGCCCCTCTTTCTCCTGAAGAGCGGGCTGGTGTTTCCAACTTTGGTCATGTAAGTCTGGCAGCTCAAAGTATAACCACGAACTTAATATTGTTGAGTTATCAATTCTACCCAAAGCAATCTATAGATTCAATACTATGCCTATCAAAACCCAAAAGCCTTTTTGCATAAAGAGAAAATGCCATCCGCAGTTCATATGGAAAGACAGGTGTCTTGAACAGCCAAAGCAATCTTAAAGATTAACAAATTCGGGGGACTCAAAATCTACTAAAAAGTGACAGTAATCCAAACCGTGCAGAGCTGGCATGCAGGTATGAGGTGGCTTCATAAAGTTTGCAGAACCTGGATTTAGCCTCTGGTGAATCCCCTCTCAATGACCCTAACTGAGGGAGGGGTCAGCCCTGTTAGGAGAGAGCACTGCTAAGGAGATTAAGGGAGACACAGGTCAAAATGTAGCACCTTACTGCTTGATCTCCCTTTGACCCACTGTAAAGCTGTTTCCATTAAACAAGAAAAGAGAGGAGAAATCCATTTGGATGAAGGCCCTGGCGAATCTCCTGACCGTGGGCCAGGGAGGTGAATAGCCTTGCCATCATGCACAGCGCACTGCAAAGCGGACTACTGAAGATGCAGTTAGGTTAAAATTTAGCACCCTATACCGACTGATCTCCCTTATGATCCACTTAAATTTGTTCTAATTTTTAATTTTTTCTTTCTTTTCAATTAAAGTTTCTATCTGTTCACTTTTGTTATTGTTCATTTTGAAAGCCAGGATGAGTACAGAGACAGGAAGTGGACTAAGGGAACCTCCCCTGTGGCGGGGGAGTTTGAAGGGAAATGGGAGCTGATAACGATGAGTCAGAATGAAGAAAAAGTTCTGAAACTGGTTACGATTGTACCGCCCTTCTTGATGTGACTGAACTACTGAACTGTATGACACGTGAATCATGTCAATAAAACCATTTAGAAAAAGGTTTGTGGAAAAGTAGAATGCAAGGAGAACAGTCTTTCCGTGAACTTTTTGAAGCCCCCTCATACACAAAGAAATATAATTGTCCAGAATAAACGTGTGCACATAACATATATGTAGAGGTTAGTTCTATATAGAATATAATTGTCCAGAATAAACGTGTGCCTCTCTGGTGAAATGAGTTTCACAAGGTCGCCAAGACAGTTTGGTGGGTGAAGAATGAACGGGGCTAGAACAGCCGGACCTGAACATAAACACAATGTAAGTAGTCCCACCTCACCACCACATATGAAAACTGACTCAAAATGGACAAAGACCTCAACAGGACAGACCCCATAAACTCTTAGGGACAGATCAGGGGTCACAGAAGGTGGATGTTGCTCAGCTGGCTCACAGTTCTTATTCTTACTCAATACTGGAATCATTTGTCTAAAAAGTTACATACTTTAAATCCTGCTGGCTTTGTAGACTAATCTCAACAAAACTTGACCTTAAATCTAGAGATGAAGGTCCTGGAGCTGTCCTCCCCACCACTGGTCCTGCACTGCCAAGCGCAGGCTGTTTCCTACTTTCCAGTTGGGGAAACGTGATTTTCTCCCTGGATGCCTGTTTTTTTGGTTCAGTTTCCATTTTATTCTCCATTTACCTAAGGAGCTCTCACAATTCCTTTAGCATTCTAAAGTACACACGAGCTCACTTTGACCCAAACCTACAGCGCTGACAATAGCCAGTTACATAAAGCATGTCCAACCCAATCCAAACTGCTACTACCATCAAGTTCATGTCAACTCACGCCCATCAAGATAAGCAGCGGTGTCTCTCTCCCTAGGTGTGTCATTTCCTGAGGGCGCAGGATTTGGTACCTAGCCAAAGACGCCACTTCTTCTCTACTGAGTATTTAACTTTGGTCCTGCCAACTACACAGAATAAAAACCAAGAGGGATATGCCCTGCACCAGGCTCTCCTATTGTCATTAATAATTAACACAAGAATACAAAGGCCATCAAGCACTAAACCAAACCCAATTTGAAGAGGTGATCGGATCCTCCGACCAAGTGTTTTAAAGCTCCTTTAGTATTGTTTTACTGCGACTGCATCCTTGATTTTACTGATCTACACTGATGATGTAGCAAAGGGTTAACAAACAAAACAATCACCCTCTGGGGGCGAACCGCAGCTTATTGATACGGTTAATTTTACCTATGTTAACTTGGCTAGGCTATACTTTCCAGTGGCTTTGCAAAAAATTATTATTAGTTGCTGTTCCATAATGCCATCTAATGCAATAGAACCAGTCCGAGGGGTGATTTCCATAGGGTGTGGTCTGTTTTCAAACATAACCAGACACTGGGGTGTTGAGGGAATTGCATCCTTCCTCCAGGGCTTGCATGTGCACCTCTCTTGACCTCACCCTTGGATACCTGACCTTCAGATCTTGAGATTGCCAGCCTCCACAACTGTGTGGGCAATCCTGAGGGAGTAATCTCATTCTAAGTCTCGCGGGCTCTGCTTCTTAGAGAACCCCAACCTAGACATACTGGTGCTGAGAAGCGGGGATCCTGCTCAAACAAATACCTGAAGTCAGAAACTGGATTTGGGTAGTAGAAGCTAGAGGAATGTTGGTGTGTTTAATAGTAAGTTCGTAAGTTGCCCAAAAGAAGCAGTTGGTAGAATTATGGACATTAAGGGCAATTCTTATGAAAACTTCACTGTGAGGAAAGCATTTATTGCACTGTGAAACAAAATTTCGATTTTTATTAAGATAAAAGGGAGTTCTCTTGCCCCAGATACATTAGTTTCTAATTTTATCTTAAACTGTAACTGAATTTCCGAAATGTAAAACTGGCATTTTATCTAGGTTGATGAGACTCACTTGTTGAAAATACTTGAAACTTTTTAAAAAGAAAGTAACAAAAAATTAATGAATATGTTGTTTCTAAATTCATGTCTCACTGATGTGATTTTCTTAACAAAATTTCGGTGTAAGCTTTGATAACGTCTGAACATATATCTCTCTGATAAGATGTATGTGTTGAGACCTACCAATAAAAATTTTTTGTTCAAAACTCATGATTAAATTGTGTATGTAGTACTCTGAAATACCTTAATCAAAACACTGATGCACTCACATGTTACGTTGCCCAATTTGCAAATTATCTACTGAACTTACATCCCCAAACCCAACTCCCTGCCATCGACTCACAGAGCCTGGATAGGACTTGCCCCTGTCGAGTTTCCAAAACTCTTTTAACTCTTCATGTAAGTAGAAAGCTGTCTTTCTCCCAAGCCTACATAGCACTCTGTAAATGATGCCTGAGTTACTTATTTGGACAGCTGTTTGGTGTGAGATGCTGAATCAAAGTTCCCTTCCCAGTGACTCCCTATCAGGAAGGCGAATCACATGCTGGTACCAGCCATGTGGCATTCTCTCTCTGCTCCCTCAGCCCGGTTTGGAGTCACAGGAGCCTCCAATCTTAGGTCTTAAGTTTCACGTGTTTATCATTGTTCCATGAGATTGCTCTGACATATGGTTGGCTGTTCTAAATTTGTTTTCTATTGTTTCAACCAGGTTGATTTAAGATCTGAGAATCTGGTCACGTTTTAGTAACTTGAGGGTCAGTGTGTGGCACTTCCAAGTTCTACCAGGCAGGAGATCGCAAACTCTACATCCAAGTGTAAAGCGCCCCCTGCTGGTAAGGCAGCAGGAGTCATGAGAAAGCTCGTTTTCGTTCCTTGATCAACAAATATGGGGGACTTCAAAAAGTTCATGGAAAAAGTAATGATTACTTAAAGGCACCTTACTAAAAATACAGACATTTTTACATGAATTGGAAGCAACGGCTCGAGGTTCTACAAAGTGCACATGCTTTTCTCCGTTCCCTGAAGCCTCTTCTGCTTCTCTGATCTACCCAATATTCCCTGGAGCCTCAAAAACTCACCCACATTGGATCTCATCCTGGAACGTTTCTCTAAAGAAGATGCCATACCTCAAATGCCCTTTAAATTTTAGTCAAAAGAGAATTCTGGGAGTCCTTTTAAAAATTCATTCTCTTTAAAGGTACACCACAAAGCGTAATAAGATAATTCCCTTACACAAGGGTGGGTCCCCACAAGATCTTTGAAGAATTTCATTTTAATTAGTGCTTACACCTCCACTTTACCTGATCTCTGTCGGGTTATTCGTCAGCTTTGCAGGGCAAGAAAAGAGCAAAATGAAAGGGGCTAACCAGGGTAATGCTGTGAAGCCTGAGGCTCCTCTCTGAGCTGACGTAATACCGCGGATGGGTCCACCGTACAGTTCTGCAAACCAACAACTGATACGGCGACTTGCAATGGTGTCTTAATCCTTTTTCCCTCTATGACTTCCTGTCCCTGGTTGTTCTGGAAACTGAGTTTTCACACCACGTTTTATACAGTCTGAAAAACATTTTAAAAACCTTTCATACTAAGTGTAAGAGGCACCCCCCCTAAAAGAATGCTGCAAGCTGCACGCTGCACATTTTAAAACTACTATTATATCAACTCAAAGAGGGGAGGGGAAGGAGCTAAGTTAGTGGCTTTATAAACAAAGGTGCTCCAGGGCCTTCAAGACCCTCGGTGCTTCAAGAAAGGCCAATGCTCGCTCTCTTTTAAAAAAACAAACATTGCCCCCCTTTTCGTCAAAGTCCTCCTCAACCATTTTCAAATCCCTTCATCTTCTCAAAACTAAGTACCAAAAAAAAAAAAAAAGCCAACTGTGTTTGTACACTAAAACAGCTACTTGACAAAGCTTGCAGGGACTGCTAACCCTTCAAGAGCTTTGGCCTCACCTCAACACATACTTAAAAATGCTACGGAAAGCTGCTCTGAGCAAAGGGCCCGTGTCACACTGGCGTCATGTTTAAACATGCACAGAGACGACGCTAAGCACACAGAGCAGCTCCAGGAGATTCGGCCACACTGAGTTTCACACCCACCGTGCAGACGTTACATGGTTTGTGCGTGCTCACGGGCGCGTTCTGTATGAGGAAAATACGGTTCTTACAGAAACAAGTAATAAAACTCACACTGTGTAGTTTTTAAACCTCTTCATAAAATTGAGCCCCCAAACCATAAAACATTCCTTTTTGCTTCAAAATTCTACTCTTACCTATTTATTTTCCTTGTACAGGAGACATTAACATTTACATTAGCATGTCCTAATTGATTTTTATAGTTTTCTTTAATAAAAGTGGCATTAGAAACTAAAGTAGCCATAGCAAATGATAATTTTAAAATATTAGATCAAGTTTCAGAAAAATTATAGACAAAAAACTACTGATATGGTCTATTATTTATTAAGAACTAACCCCATAAAAAAACTAAACCTGTGCCCTGCTTTGCCCAAACCATAACCCAAACTGAAAACCAATTGCCATCACCTCTACTTCAACCCCTCAAGAGCAGAGCCCCTCAGAGGACCTTCCCCAAGGCCAGCCTTGCTCTCAGTGTGCAGCCAGCGCTTACTCACTGGGCAACCAGGGCTCATCAGGGGGATTTCAATCCACTACTAACCAATTTTTCTAAAAAAGGTATTGCTCCTTACAAACTCTTGTATTGCCCTCACTTCACTAGTTGATAAAACTACACGGTCAAGGTTAAAAGTGTGAGATAGAATAATGAGTATCCCACTTCCCTCCAGTACCTCAGTCTCACCTATTACTGGATAAAATACCCACTGTCACACAGTGGTTCCGTTACTGACTTGTACGCTTGTTTTCTTCAACATATCCACACACGTCTCCAGTCAATGTTTGTTTTCACTTGAGACTTGAGAAAGTGGCCTTTTCTTCCTGTAGGATTTACTACACCGCATTCTTTATTTCTCTCAAATCCTTACATTGAGATCTTTAAATTTCCCAAATTTAACCCTCCTACATTACGTAAGGCTTTTTTCCCTTCAGTTACTTTTACAGTGTTTTCTTATTGAGGTATAACTGGGTCATAAATGCAAATTAAAACTGTACAACGGATGGGTGTCGACACACGTATGCGCTTGCAGAGCCACCATCACGGCAAGTAAAAAAATCACTCGCTCTTACACCCCAATTCTGCGAGTGAAGTGGACTCCTTACCCGTTTACAACCGAGTGCTTGGAAGGGACACTAGGTCTCCAGGGATAAATTCAGCTTCATTGTAAGCAAACCTCCCTGGCTGTTTGCTGGTCTGCTGATCCAAGGCACTGCCAGCAGCTTGCCATCTTACCAGCAGAGCTGGGATTCATTTGCCTCCACAGCCAGCACCTTGGCCTCATCCTGTCAATCTGGGGTTCCTCAGTCCCTGCAGCGACTTGAGTCAGAAGCCTCCAGCCCGCTATCCGACCCACGAAATTGGAATCTGCTAGCCTCTAAAACAGTGGGGGCCATTTCCTTGAGATAAATCTCCCTGTATCCGTATATAAGCCGCACTGATTTTACGTCTTAAGAACCCAGCCTAAGACAGGTTACAATTAGTGGGCGAGATCCACCCAAACCAATGCTATCGAGTCATTTCTGACTCACAGTGACCCATAGAGAGCTCTGAGGCTGTCGACCTTCATGGGAATATATGCTTCTATTTAAGCTTTATAATGTTTAACACACACTGCTTGAAGATTTACATATTGCCGTGAGACACAAAATCCTAATAAGTACTCTGTGTTTGTGATAAAATGCTGCATGTAAGACTTGAACAGAATGCCGCTAGAAGTATGAATGTTATACGTGCTTCTGATGAAGGTCTAAAAGGAAATAATGAGGTCATTGGATAATTCACTTTATAAAGTAGCAAAGAGCTTATATTACTAACTGGCCAAATGCAGAGCTTGTAAGTGATGAAACTGCATATTTCAGCTGAGGAGATTTCTAAGCATTTCTTAGATTTCTAATCTTAATGTAGTAATTATCATATATACTCGTGAATAAGCCGAGTTTTTCAGCACATTTTTAATGCCGTTTTTGTGGTTCAATTAGGTGCGCTGACTGATATTCGGGTTGGCTTATACTCGAGTATATACGGTAATGTGCTTTTCCCCTTGCTGTTTATATTAAAATATGAGAGAACAGAGATACTCTTAAAAATGAACTGTGTCAAATGAGACCAGAACTTTGAAACTAAGGACAAGTATCCGGGAATTTTCAAAACAGCCTGGAGACCTCGTCTTCTACTGAAGTGATTAAGCCTGTGACTAATGCCCAGGCCTTCAGGACCTCTAGCCAGACATCAATGAACATGGGCAATGCCACTGGAGCAGATGTCTCAGAGAACCGAGAGATGGTTTCCAAGCTTTGAGAACGAATGACATTTGCTTTGCTCGGTTGTAGATGTGCTTAGTGTCCATCATCCTTCCCACTTGAAACTGGAATTTCCCTTCTATTCTATATTATACACTGGAAGTTGCCAACTTGTACTCTTCTAGGTTTTACAAGTTCATTGATGGCAAGGAGATTCCCACCAGACAGGGCATGCTGAGTATATTTGTTTTAGATGATTTAGAAGATGAGATTTAGGAATAGAGCCGTGCTGGGGTGGTATGTAATGATAAATGCATTTGCACATAAATGGGGGAGTGGGTGAGAAGCACAATGTGTGGGATGTTATGGAGTAAATTGTCTCCCCCAAATGTGTGCTGGAATGTTTGTTAACCTCCATTATACGTGTGGACGTAATCATTTGGGGAGTAGGGCTTTCTTTCTGTTAATGATGTCCTGTCAGTACAGGTTGTCCCCTAAACCATTGCCGAGTGATATGGGGAGCACTAATAGACACAGAGGCAAGCGAGCGAGCAGAACTGTGCTCACTAGGCATGTGAAAGAGAATCCTGCTGGGACCCCTTTTTGACCCCGAAGCCCCAGTGCTGAGCAATGCCATGGCAGGGGGTCACGGGGAGGCCTTTCCTTACCTCCGCAGGCAGTCTGTCAGCGTGGTGGTCCCAGAAGCGTGGCTTTCCCCATTCACCATGCTGCCCTCACTGCCCGGGCTCAGGGGCCAGAACGGTGTGGAGGAGCCAGGAAGATCCAAGCTGATGTCCCAGAACGGGTCTATGGTGGTGGAGACCCCACTAGATGCCAAAGGAAGACCAGAACAAGTGTGAGCACGGGCAGTCCACACAAGGATCCATCGAGAACACCACGCGTTGGGGTGCTGTTAAAGTGGGAGGGGGCTTCAGACAGTTCATGGGAAATTTCCATTATTTTTTTCCTTCTATCTCCCCAGGAACTTTCTGAAGCCCTTTCTCATTCTTCTTTGTGCAAGTGGAACCTGCAGCCAGGTGCTAGGCAGACTTCATCTGCAGTTCTCTGTAGAGCAGGTATGAACCATTAAAGCCAGGATGCTCCTCACACAATGGCCTCTAAACCTGGGAATTTCAAAAAGTGAAACTTCCCAGGCCCCACCCCAGAGGCTCTGAATTGACAGCTCTGCCCCAGATCACAGTGCATCCTTGTGACAGCAAACTGCACTTCGCACCCTCTAAAGCCAACTCCTTCAGGATGTTTAATACAAGTATAGCTCAGGGACTGCCTCCTGCTATTGGAGGTCGGTAGTCTAGGGCCACCTAGGAGGCTCTTCAAAACTGTGGTCCAAGCTGCATGAGGCAACAGCCCCCAATAAAATGTGCAGTGAAACAGAAAAGGCACTGCATCACTGGCGTGCAAACAGGCCATCCCATCAACTCCCAACTCACCTACCCAACAACAATGCAAGCGGAGGGCCCGTGATTTCACAGCACTTTTAGTGGGCACGACCAGGGTTTCCTGGGTTGCTGTCATTTATAAATAAGCCAAATACGAAATATCAGAATGCTGAGGGCAAGCGATAAGTCAATGAACACACCTCCTGGTTCTCAAGAGCCTGACTTCAGTTGCAGGCAGAGCCTGCACTTCTGTAGAACAATGGGCACAACCACAGCAAACACGGGAAAGGGGCTTTTAGAGAAACTCCCATGACCCCAGATCGGCCTTGGCCGCTTCTCAGTCACAAGGACATGGCTGAGAATCAGCATGCGGTCTGGATGGCCTAGACCAGACGTTCTCTGGCATTCCAGAGGAAAAGCCATGCCACAGAGGAAGGCGCGCACTTACTGGCAGACCTGGCAGGTGACGTCCGACTGCAGCCCACCTGTAAAGATCTGGTCGATGATGCAGTTGCAGTGGTTGGGGTTGTTGGCCTTCTTCCCATTATCATCACCTGGGGGTGGGGTGGGGGAGGGAGGAGGACAACAAATGACCCTGCAGGGCACTGCAGCTTTGTGCCCCAAGTCCAAGAGGAAGCTTAGCCAACAGAGGCACAACAACTGCAGTACAGCCAGCACTTTAACAGGGTCTTTGACGTTTGCCATTTCCTAAGATCGCTTTAACGTCTATCAAGGTATCAATGCACATTGAACACTCAATAACAGGGGAGAGGTATGCTTCTTCATGTGCAAAATAATGACATGTCTCCAGTAAAGTAGCTGCCGCCACTCTCCCCACACTGGATTACCCCACCCACAGCCACTGCCACTGAGTAGACTCTGACTCAGTGACCCTACATGGAGCTTCTGGGACCATACAGTTGTACAGGGGCAGTCTGACTCCTCCTCCTAAGGAGTGTCGGGGGGATGTGAGTAAGTCTTAAAAAGGAAAAAAAAAACTCTTACCTAAACTATAACGCACCGTTTTAATTCCTACAACATGTATCCTGTGCATATTTTCAAGGGAAAAAAAGGGGGAGTGATGGTGGGTCAAAGCAGACTCTAGTACGAGCAGTTATCCAATATGCCATCGTCTTTCACATTCAGGTGGCTCCTGACCTATAACTCAGGATGCCAGACCACTTACGAGACAGTCCGTGGAGGCTTATAAGCTATGTAAGGGCATTCCATAATATGACCAGGATTGTCAAGAGACACAAATTGAAGAAGGAAGTAGCCAAACAGAACACAGTTGGTCACTGGAAACCCTCCCACGCACAGCGTACCCTGCTTGTGC